GGGTCTCCAGGCAACGTGCCTGCAAAAAAGCCGCTGGAGTTGACGTAAAGTTTCACACGGTTTAGGGTTTAGGTTTTAGGGTTTAGGGTTTTAGGGTTTAGGGTTTAGGGTTTAGGTTCCAACTTTCCGCACCCCAATGTTATAACCCCCATATACTAGCATCCTTAGCAAAGAGAAACTCAAATAAGCACCCCTGTTTTGGGAAACCTCCAATTCTCAGCAGAAGAACTGTATGGAGGGCGCATAAACACATTTGGTTGAATAGTCGCCCCTCCACTACGTTACACGCAAAGAAGTTCGAACCTCGACCAGCAAAGTTGGTTCATGTCCCATGCTCACAGAAATACAGGGGTAATATAGGGATAATGGTTTAGGGTTTAGGCAAGTGGGCTCGCACTTGCGGAAAAATACTCCGGATGTACCAAATCCAACGCGCCCTTCGAGCAGCTCGGCTTGACCTCCATATTTGCTTAACCGATCCATTATCCCTGTGTAACCCCAGTATACTGTAGTAGTTTCCATTTTCTTTTCCATTCCTATATAACCCGAATTTACTATAGTAGCTTCCATGTTCTTCTCCATTATCCCTATACGACCCCATGATCGACCCCATTATAATATAGTAGTTTCACTTGTGTGGTTAGCACTGAGGACAGTAGTCCTGCGATTGACAATGAAGATCAACTAGGGTCAGGCAAGCAGTAGAGAGACTGATGTAGACGCCTGACTCTCCGCATACACCACAACCAGTCGGGAAACTCAGCATTGCCACAACTTGTCCTCACCCCTACATCCCAAAAAACCAACTAAACGAAGAAAAAAACAAAAACAAAAAACTCCCACATCCCGTCTGCCTCCTCTTCAGACCTGGCCTCGAGCTCGAGCGCCTAGCGCAAGCTACATGAGCTGTAGTGGGTTTAGGGTTTAGGGTTTAAACTCCTACCTCGTATCCCCCTTAATATCCCTTATAATCGTCCCCTGTACAATCCGCTAAGTAACCTCTTGAAGGCGTTTAGAGTATAGCTCACATGAGCCCTTGACTAAAGTTATAGTACATCTGTTCAAGGTCCCCCCTAAGCCCCCTATACATCCATTATTATAGGTCCCGCTCAACCTAGCTTTAGTAGACAGCTAACATAAACTGCAAGTCTCGGGGCTTCCTCACATTCCAAGACTGCTTCCCACCTGCTCCAGTGGCCAGGGATGCCCACGGATCAACCGCGGACGTAGCGGTGGTCCTGCGGACGCAGAGGGAAACATCTGACCAGGTGAGCGACTGGAGTCTCAAAGGTTGATATGGGCAGGGACGTAACCACAGTGATCAAGGGTTCAATCCATGTCGAATCTACGTACATGAAGTAGCAAGCATGCCAGCTGTGGATAGCATCGACATGATCCTTCGCCCGTTGCCGTCAGCGCTTCTCTGCGACATCCTAGGGCAAATGCACACCAAAAGCTAGCTTGCGGAAAAGATGGCCGCTAATGCACTTGCCAGCGGCAATCAAAGAATCAAGCTCAACAGCGCCAGCCATAGCCAGGCGTCTTTCTGCCGCCACCGCACTGCAGACCGCCTGACGCTGGGCCTGTGCCAAGAGCTGCAGCAGCGACCTGACATGACAAGAGTTGCGAGATCTGTTTAGCTTGGGGAAGGTTTAGCTCTCAGTAGCATGTGATCAGACATTCTGCGGCCACGCCACACCAGAGCTCTAGCCACGTTGTCGTTCAACTTGCGCACCTCCCTCACCTAAAATGCAAGTCTGCTAAACTCCAACCAGAGCAGCGAAACAAAGATCTGCAAGAAAAATGCAAGAAAAGTACCGTACCCAGATCTGCATTGTGCAACATCCCTGGTCGGGCAGCTCAGGCACTGAGCTTGGCTGAGGGTGTTTTCTTGCGGTATGCTCCGTCGTCGCATCATCAAAAAGCCTCAGCACAGTCGGGACTTAACACAATACTCTACCTTATTGGGGCTTTGTAGTACATTCTACATTGGGAAAAATGGGGCTATTAGATATTAAGGTCATGCAGGATTTTTAGTATCAACAGTACTCTACCTTATTGGGGCTTTGTAGGAAATAAGCGAATATGTATATAATTAAAGACAACCGGTTGACCAGGGATGATATTCCCGTATTCCCCAACAGACCACCAGTAAGCATTGGGGTTACAGTCCCCCTTACGTAGATAGAATATGGCTTTGGGTGTGTTATGAGAATATCCCCATGTTTCCCTCATATTCTATCTACTTAAGGGGGACTATAGGGTTATCCGGCTTTGAAGTTGATTGGAGTTTAGGATTTAGGGTTTAGGGTTCCGCACCAACCTTGCCCCAACTAGCTTGGAACCCCACAAGGCGCACTAAGGCTAGGGCTAGGGTCATTTGAGAAGGGTCCCATGCGGGGTTGCATGTTAGTTTCGATCCAAACAGCCTTCAAAGTAGGTACTTAAGGTTACATTGCGATAATGGAAAATAAAATAAACACTACCGTGGTAGAGGGTTTAGAGTCTAGGGCTTGATATCCTAGATGACAACCACCCCCTTACTTCTCCAAAAAAATTACTACTTTGGGTGATCGGGAGTAAGGAGGATAATCGAAACAAATGCTCTCACGCTAAGTCATCCTTCGGGATCCGCTTCTCCAATCTTTTTAGTCGCGGCTCTGAAGCAAACTGTCTGCAAGGACCGCCGGCAGTCGCGCGCCAGGCTCGCGGGCAGCATCCTTGGAGTCCAGGATGCTTTGCTCACCGGTTCTTAGTAGAGAAAATCAACGAAGATATTATAGAATATAACAGGGACTATGTAGGAATTCTATTCCCTTAAGAAGAGAATATATTATGTAATGGAAAAAGGGACTATATAGGATTCATATTTCCTTCTTCCCGACTAAGAACCAGGAAGTTGGGGAAACCAGCAACAAGGCGGCAGGGCTTGGGCCATTCCGTATCCCACTCTCATCTACATGTGGGAGGCTTCCGGAAATTAGGGCATACCTTTTTGGGATCCCAATAATCATAACAATACAAAAATTAATTCTAATATTTTGGGGTGTCTAGATTAGGGCCCTTATTTATGGAAACTACCACTTACACACCTTTCGTGCGTACATAAGCTACTGTCTAAACTCCTAGTATCCCCTTAATAACCCCTATAATAGTCCCATATATAACCCCCTTTATAGACCCTACACCCTAAACCCTAAACCCCTAAACCCCAAACCCCTAAACCCTAAACCCTAAACCCCTAAACTAAACCCTAGATACATGGGCAGGCCTCCTCCACCTTCTCGCAAAGTAAGCGCTCGTGGTAGCTGCGGATCTCCAGCATCTCTTGGCGCCACGCATGCCGTGTGTCGCCCTGGCTGCGCTTTGCCAGCACCATAACTAGTTCTGTCCTCTTGAGGCTTGCTCAGTATATTCTTATATACTATAATTATAATATGCATATTACAGTATATTATGCAACCCCCCTGAAGGCAGCAAAGGCAGCTCCAAAGCTAGCACGGAACTTCAGTTGCTGCTTGCACCTTCTCTGCAACCTGCTTCTGGAGCATGGCCAGTTCCTGCCACAGCGGGTTTAGGGTTTAGGGTTTAGGGTTTTGGCCAGTTCCTGCCACAGCAGCAGTAGGGAACCGCCATTCCCACACCCCGCACATTCGCCTGAAACCCCACAAAATCAACGGGCCTTCAAAACCAATCCCTACAAATCGAGGCCATCTCCCACCTAAACCCTAAACCCTATTACCGCCTTAGGACTTGCACCCCATCGATCGATTGCGCACTTTGAGGCTCAGCCCCGCCTCGCGGAGCTGCACAGTTTGTTGCTGGACGGCCATGAGGTCCATATTCAGCTTTACCTGAGTCATTGAGCTGCCGGTGGTTGCAGTAGCAGGGAAAGGAAAAGAGGATCGAAGCTAGTACATCGTCTAGGGTTTGGGGTTCCTACTGGTGCTGGCTAGCGAACTGGGGAAGGGATCCCTGAGAATACCAACTCTCCATACTTCTCTACTTCCTAAAGGGCTTCAGGATCCTTGAGTTGAGGCCACAGAACGAGCTCGCTGAACCCACATGGCGCCATCTGAAAGCAAAATCTCCAAGAGTCAAACCTCTTTGAAAGATAACCCCCACCTGTGAGGGTAATACATGGGGTTATATAGGGTTTATACAGGGGTTATATTCAGTTTAGGGATAATGGAAAAGAAAATGGCAACTACTATTATGAAGCATCTTCAGAAACCTTGAAGCAACTGGAGAGATGCCAGCGCAAGGATTTTGCACCTGCACACAAAAACGAGACCCTACAGTAACCCAGACCCCCCAAAGGATCCAAAAAATGGAACCCCCCAATATGAACCCATTACTACATTAGGGAAACAAGGGGATTATTAGGGGGTTCCATTTTTGGATCCTTTAGGGGGTCTGGGAAGCGATTTTGCCCAGCAGCCGAGGGCTTTGGCGGTGCTCGGCGGGTTGGGGGCGCCAGCAGCTTCGCCTGTGGATGTCACTGGAACTCTAAATAATATATTCCCATTGACTAGTCTCTTGTGATAGGGCATATATAGGGGGTATAAATGGGATTATAGGGAGAACGGAGAAGAGAATGGGAACTACTACATTATAAGAAGCTGTGGCACCTTGCAATGATCCCTGGAATTTTCTCTCAGGGTCCATGGTCCCGTTATGTTGTGACTGCTGTTGCCCCTGGCGGCTCCCGATGGAACTACTTGGTGCCGAAACCGGGTCAGGGAGCACTTTTTCCCCAGTGGTACCAGCCAGACAAAGCGGCAATCAAAAGGGCAGGAGCGAACCAGATGCATCTACTTTTCCTGCGCGTTTCCATAGCTGACATCATCTGAGCGAGTCAAGCACCGTCTGCAAAGCAGATCTGTACACCTGGAAATGTTTTCATGTGAAAGAAGTACATGTATGAGTACATGTATGGGCTGGGTGCTTAGAAGACGCACGTCTCTGTACATGGCTCAAGAGGAGTCAGCCACTCAAACTCAGAAATGCAGGTCCTCATACTGTTCAGAATCTGGGTTGAAACGTGCGTTCTCCAGAGATCGGCTCCGATGACGAGCCCATGCTGTGGGCGTAAGATCGCGGTCTGGATTCATGGTACCCTCACTGTAGGGACCGTCGAGGAGGTCGGACAAGAAGTCGTTCAGGAGACACATGTCGTCCGAAGAAACATCTCCATCAGGCCTCCATACCACAACAGGGCCCACGAAAGCCTGCCACTCGTCTGGCGCGAAGCCCGATCTGATTTCGATCAGCATGTACGTGGCCCACTGGTTGTCAAAGTCCTCACGGCGTGAAAGCTTGGAGCGAGCAGGCACGCGAGTTACACGCAGCGGAAAGCCAAGTCGAGCAGAGATGGGAGAAACTGTCCATGGCATGCTCTGCAGGATAGCAAGGGGCCAGCGCGTGTCCTGGATGTAGCCACCAAGAAAAGAATCCTCTCCTTTCGCAGCTATGCGGCAGACTTGCACAGTCTCCTCATCAGGAATGGCCATCAGATTGACTTGTTTGATTAGTTTGGGCGCTGCCTCCTGCTGAACGCGAACGCCGAGCCTGGAGTCTTGGTTGAGCGGCACCAGAACCTCTGCATATTTGCCATTGAGAGCTGTGGTCTGCAGGTTTTGAAGACAAACCCAGCGATGCCGACCGAAGGGGTCTCGAGCTTCTGCTTGCGCCTGGCGTCGCGATTTCTCAACATCCTGCCGCTCTTCGGCCAGAAAAGCCTCCACATCGAAACTGTTGTCGTCTCGAATGGTGGCCATGTCGTCAGCTGATCTGAGTGCCACCAAAATACTGCTCGCGTTTTGCACGCGATGCACAGCAGTGGCTTGAGCCAAGAAGAAGGGGGCGCTTCCAGCTATGTGCAGCTGGCTCAGTGCAAAGCGGTGTCTGCACACCTCTACCACCGCATGATCTGTGCCTGCATGCCTGCAGTCGCCTATGCATCAATCTCCTGTCAACTCGCATGGACTCGCCTTGGTTGCTGCCCGCTGCGTCTGGTCTGCCCATGTGGTCAAGTTAGCCAGCCGAGCCTTGCCAAAGGAGCACTGGGCTTTGGGTTAAAATTTAGATGGGAACAACTCGTGCTGCCTCTCCTGCGTAACCCAGGCACATTGAACTCTGTCCGACAAACCGACAATGACAACTCAGCTGTCAGAAGAACTGCATACCGGTACATGCCTCAAGAGACGAAGCTCACGAAGTTCTGCGATTCAACCTATGCCGGCCTGCTGCACGGCCTGCTTGGCGCGAAGAGTCTCCTGCAACGTGAGCTGGAGGTATGGGGTCTTGGCTGCTTATCTGGGTTGGCCCCTAAAACCCCTTGAAAATTATGAGTATATACGGTCCCTTATACAGTCCCTTATTAAAGCCATTAGGGAAAATATTCAATATCCTAGGGGCCTACCCAGTTATCTCTCTTCTTTGCCGGAGTTTGGGCAGAAGCTCCCGGCGCCCACAAAGTTCTGCAAGGAGGCGCTGGCTGTCGGAAGCCTCAGGTGCCACTGGCTCGGCCATCGCAACACGTAGAATGATGGACCCCAGCTGAAGCCCTACCCAGCCCTTCTTGGGAAATTGCTCCACCTCCCTTCCCCCCTTAAGTAGATAGAATATGGGGTCTATAGGGATCTTATTATAATTCTACCCAAAGCCATACTCTTTCTACTTAAGGGGGACTGTACTTCAGCCCTGTGCTGCGAAGCCCGGGACCTTGGCCTCGACCATGCAGCGTGCCACGGCCAACTCCTCACGGACCTCTGCCCGATCCTTCGCAGCTTCGGGCTCAGAAGGCTCTGAAGCCTCTCAGTTGGATGTGACTTGTCTGTACAATGCCTTCCCAACCACCAGCTTCCAAAACAACAGGAACAGAACCTGACCGCCACAGCAGAGATGTCATGTTCAAACAGTTGGTAAGCTTATCCCCATACGATCTTGGACAGTGGCTGCTCTAATGGGTAGTTCCCAGAATCCGGGTCCCATTTTGGTACCCACAAGGGGCCCATCATTTGAGACCCCTTCAAATGGCACCAAGCATTCGCAAGAACGCTGTGCCCCACGCAGTCTCGACCGCCTCTTGCAGCCGCGCAGACTTCGCCTGCGGCTCGTGACCTGGGAACTTCTCCAAACAGGGGAAGACGCAGGGTTCCTGCAGCGTTTAAATTTCCTGCACAGTTGATCTTACCTAGAGCCAAGACCAGAAGGGCTCTGCAGCTGGCTAGCATGCGCAGAGCTTGCTATGTTGACTCCCTGGCAAAAGTATAGACGTTCAACCAGACACTCGATGCTTCACAAGCTAGCCGGGCTCCCAAAATGCAGCAAGAACACCTCGAGTGGAAGCAGCCTGGTTGCGCTCCTGCATGGACTTGACAGGTCGGACTGACTCTGGGAGCCTACTGACCCTGCACGCTTTGTTATTTCCGATGGCAAAAGCACGCAACTCCAACATGCTCCCGGTTGCAACAAGGCTTGTAATAGTTTCTGATAGCTATGATATGGTAATTTCCCTAAGCACAGGGACCCCACTAGATAACCCAAAACGATATGTTCCTTATTATATGGACCCCCACAAGGGTATCCCCAGTTTTTGGAAACCCCATGTATTATGTTGGTCCACCACAAAGGAGGACGAGTAAGACAACGACCAAGGTCAAAACTCGGGATCAGCTTTGCGGGTCAGGGCACAGAAGTGGAATGCTCCAGAGCGGCCAGGGACTCCAGAAACTCGTTGGCAGCCTCCTTGCAGTTGGACAGCGCGGCAAGGAATCACCGGCGGTAATTATAATGTATACATACAGTGATGAAGGTGGGAGCGGAGATCAACATCGACCGCCCTACCCTGGCCTCCCGAAGCGAGAGATCACGCAGCGTGTTCTCATCCTGGGACAGTGATATACATCCAGAATTTGCAGCCATCTACCTTTGACCATTAGAAGCCCAAGGCCCATGGCTGGTCACTGCCCCCATTGTGGTATACTATACTATACTATACTATACTATAATATATTATATTATACTATACTATCTTATAATCTACTAGACTATACTATATTATAGTGGGAATTTCTAATACCAGGGAATTCGCAGCCAGGGTGCGGCACGTCTCCGCCTCTCGCGATCTGCCTGCCGCGCGGCCTCCAGGGCGCGCAGGTGCTCCTCAGGATGCGCAGAAGGCAAAGGAGAAAATACTGGGGTTATATCTAGGATTTTGGAAAAGAAAATGGAAACTACTATTTAGGGTTTAGGGTATAGTCCCCTCTTAAGTAGAAAGAATATCGGGTATATTATTGGGGTTATATAGGGATATTGGAAAAAAATTGAAACTACTATATTCTAATAGGGTATATATTGGGGTTATAGTCCCCCTCAAGTAGATAGAATATGGGGTATGTGGGGATCTTATTCTAATACACCCCAAAGCCATATTCTATCTACTTAAGAGGGACTATATGTATATGAGTAATTCCCAAGATTAGGGTCCCATTTTGGTACCCCTACATACTAGGTGTCCTAAGAAAATCTATGACCCAAAGGGGCCCCTAATTTTGGAAAACCCCCATGCACAGGCCTCATGCTCATCTCGGCGAGCACGGAGCTCTGCCACTGTCGAGCTTTCGTCTGATGTTGCACCACCCTTGCCCTTAGATGGTTCTTCAGAGGTTAGCTCCGTCTTGATGGCGGTCATGTTCATGTCGTGCTGTTTAAGAACTGCCTCGAGCACATTCTCCAAGTCCTGGGCACTAAGCCTGGCCGAACCATTTTTGTCGCGGGCTTTGCTATGGCGGCCTGCATGGCTTGGCAAGCTCATGGTCTCGGAAACTGAAGGAGTCAGCGGTGTTGGGCTTATTGCGCTTGAGGGCGTCCCTTCGCTGGGTTGCTGGGCCAGGATGGCCGAAGTGCGACGCGCCGCTGCGTCCGCCTCCAACTCTGCTTGTACCAGATCTTCCTGGGAGCGCTGCAGCATCTCCCGGAGGCTTGCAATCTCCGCCTCGTCGGAAGTTGTACCTCAACAGGTGATGCTACACCAAGAACCAAAGATTTGGCGAGACACCCAAGTTCCTACTCCACAACAACAGCTTATCTTACTTTACATTGGGGACCCTAGTATCCCCGTCCGAATTACTACTCAGATGGTGTTGACTAAAGGTCCTTTGGCAAGGCACGGGAGCTTGCCGCCTCACTCTCGGCGCGGCGCTCCGCCAGAGCAGCACGAGCAGCCTACCACCAGCAAGGCAAGACGCCAATAAGGGTTAAGGACTTAGGGCTTAGAATTCAGGGTTCAAGATTTAGGGCTCAAAATTTAGGGTTCAAGATTTAGTGCTTAAAAATGAGGGTTCAGGAATTAAGGCTTAAAATTCAGGATTTAGGGTTTATGGGGACAACACCACAAACAGGAACGAAAGCTGTCGCCATGACAACCAAAAAAGAATAATCAAAAATTGGCCATTCAACCCCCCACGTGAGGGTGTCCAAAAGCAGGCCCAACATGTTATAATCCTTGTTATATGAATCCCAGGAAGGGAACCCCAATTGCCGACACTTTTTTTCCTACGAATCTTCCCAAAATACTTTTGCCACAGCACCTTGTCAAAGGGACGGACCCCCAATTTACGGACCCAGACCCTAAACCCTGAGCCCTAAGCGCTAAACCCTAAGCCCGCAGCCTTAGACCCTAAACCCTAAACCCCAACCCTTAAACTTTAAGCTCTCAGCCCTAAACCCTAAAGCCAAGCCCTAAGCCCCAAGCCCTGGACCTCTAAGCTCCGGCCTCCGCTCTTGCCTGGGCTGCACTACGCTGCTGCCGCAGGTGGCGTGCCTCCTCTGCCAGGGCCTCCCGCAGTCCCCAGTTAAATGGGGGTTATGTAGGGATTATACGGTTCAGGGTTTAGGGTTATGTAGGAGTTATACAAGGTTCTATAATTAGGGCTGATATCATGTAGGGATTCAATGGGGCTGTATGAGGTTATATAGGGGTTATATAAGGGCTATGTCTGGGTTATATAGGGGTTATGTAAAGGTTTTACGGTTTTAGGGGGCACTCAGCGCAGTATATAGTTGTATAATTGCTGTGTGCATAAGAAGCAATGTTTCCAATCTTCGGCTGAAGGTCCAAATTTGTGTATTGGATTTTTCTGTCCAAGAAAGCCTTACAAGCTAGGAAGGCTAGGTCCGTGGTTTGTTCGCCTCGACCACAACCAATCCTAACGCTTTTCTACCCCGTCTGACTGAAGAAGGGTTTAAGGCTAAACGGTTTAGGGTGTACGGCTAAGGTTGCGCTTTCATTCGGGCATTTTAACTTGGGGATCTCTTGCAAGCGGTCTCAAACCACTGCCTCCACCCCAACGCCTAAAGGTTTGTAATCCTAAATCATGGACTACAACCATCAATTAAGGTATTGGGGACCACATGGATCCCTATCATTATCCCTAGGCCCTATTACATACCCCATTATACTATAGTAGTTTCCATTTTCTTTTCCATTATCCCTATACAACCCCACCCTTAACCCCCAATCGCAGGCCCTCTTGGAGCCTCCGAGCGGCGCTCCGCCTCCCAGGCTTCTGCGACGAGAGCCTTGGCCTGGCCCCAGGCCCAGGACCTACTACCAAACGGTCCATGTAGCTATATGGTATATGGTTTAGGGTTTAGGGTTTAGGGTTTATGGTATATGGTTTAGGGTTTAGGGTTCAAAGTTTAGGGTTTAGGGTTTAGGGGTTACCAGAGGGTCCATGTAGCTATATGGTATATACTTGGGCCTTAAGGTAGG